TCAGATCATGGAGGAAAATTGAAACAGGAATTTCCTTAAGTACTTTCGTATATTAATACATCTTCAGAAGGAGTCAAAGGAAGAAGTAAAGTCTGTATATAGTGAATAAAAGCAAAAACAGTATGGTAGGAGGAGAATATGGGCGAGTGAGGTGTTGAGGGAGTGAGTGGCAGCGAGTGGCTGGCTGGTGTGTGGCGGTCACTCCTCGTTACTTTTTGACTCATAATAGCAACTTAGTGGTTCGTTATGGTGAACAAAACATGCAGATACTTATATATAACCTGTGTATATAGTGTAACAACCGACAAAGTATTTGTTCACTGCTTGATGAACATAATTGAATCAACAATATGCACACCATATTTTTGAGTACAGCGATGATTCACTCATTTTATTATATAAATATATCACACTACACACTATTGAATAATATTACAGCAAAAAACTACGAAAAATCAATCAGAGACATTGAAATAATTAGGTAATTATCTCTTTGTGGCAACTCCGGCCTGACAGCTGGCGAGCAACAGATCATCTGGGACGCACGCTGAGTCAGTGCCTGTTTTTTGCCAGACTTCCCCACCCTGTAGTGGGCAATATATGCCACATACGATTTTTTCTGGGGGGAGCCCCGTCGGCTCCCCGGAGCTATCCCAGGCTGATATGCTAATGTCAGACTTTGGCATCAGTCATGTGTATGGAGTTCTTAGGCCTACCGGGGACCACGGCCAGAACCGGGCCCCCTCAGAGAGGCAAGGGGAGCAATGGCCTATAGAAGCCCCCATGTGGTTGGAAGCATTCTATGTCTGCCATCGACCGGAACAGGCACCCAGAAAGGTAAGCGCCTCAAAACAAACCCCTATTCTTGTTAAAATTGCTACCAAAAACCAAACTAGTGGATAGAACTCCCCAACCGAAAATAAGCAAACTAGTGTGACATCACACACCGCCGCGCCACTGTCTGCGCAGCTTCCCCCTCCCCGGGAGGGGGAAGGGGGAAGGGGGAGCCCCAGACGCCTCACGCCGGCTACCCACACCTCAGTTCTTGAGGCTGATGCTATAGGCGATGGTCGTGTGCTCTGGCTCCAGTGTCGCTACAGCACTGTGCTTTGCGTGTGGTGTTGGTTTTGTGGGTGCGAGAGCCAGGAGTTATCTTCAGTACTCGGGCTGCATGCGCCTAGGGCTGCCTTCCCTAGGTGCCCTGTAAGTACTGCCCTTGGGGCTTGGGGCCACCTTCCACAGGCTCCTCAGGGTCTGCGTCTGCTGGTCCGTTTTTACCTTTCGGTTTTTCGGCCGCCTGTTGGGCTCTTGGGAGTTCTGTTCTCCCTTGTTACCGGCAGGTAAGAGGCAGTTTGCACTGGTAGGGGCGCAGGGTGCTGCTCAGCTTGTATTTCCCGACATCGCGGCCGGCTCTGTTCCTTGGGGTTCGCTGTCCTCTTGCGGGGTTTTGTTTTTCTTTTTCTTTTTGCCTGGTGGGGGGTTCTGTCATTTTATTCAGTTTGTTTTTGCCCTTCCACTGTTCTCCTCGGTGGCGCCCCCTGCTAGGTCCCCGTGAGTGTACACGTCCCTGGGGTTCAGCTTTAGAAGTTTGCTTGGTAGTTTTGGGCGCCGGTTTGCAGCACCCTGCCTGGGACTACCTGAGCACGAGTCCTAAAGTAAACGCTCAGGACCCTGGGAATCCCCTAGGGGGCGCGTGGGTCCGATGGATGGGACCCCGGAGTCCCCACTCGCTGTGTGCGAGTTTGAGGGTTGCTCGGTCCCCTTGTCTCGGGGTGACCCTCATTGTTTTTGCCTCTGCCACGCTGCCTGTTGGGTCGGTGATACTTTCGACCCTGAGTCCTGTGAGTGTTGCTGCTTGCTTGTGACTCAATTTACCCAATCCTCTGATGATTCTATTCGGGTACAGGCGGCGCGTGCGTTGCAGTCTAGGTTTCGTCTGTTGCAACGTGCTCGGTTGGTTGCTCACCCGTATGCCCTGGGGCTGCCCCGCTTTGCTTTTCGAGACCCGGACTTGGGGGTGGGGGTCGCTTCGATCCTGGTTCAGTCCGCACCTCCTTGTCCTTCCCCTTCTGTTCGTTCTGGTCCCCCCCCCCCTGCTTCCGGCCCCGAAGCGTCTGAGGGTTTCGGGGTCGGAGCAGGGGTTACTTGATCTCGAGACTCAGGCAGCTTCGGGGGGTGCCCCTTCCGGGGGGGCGGCAGAGGCATTCGAGTCTTGTCTCCCGGCCGAAGCTTCTGGGTCTGACCAGTGGGCCCCCCTTCCTCCAGCTTTTCCGGCTGCTCCCTCCTTGTCTTGTGGGGTCGGGGCTTGTGGAGAGGACTCGGCCTCGGGTCCTGTGGTGAAGGACCTCGAGGCTGGGGAGGGGCTGACTTGGGGGCCTTGGGCCCCGCTGGACCCCGCCTGGGTTTTTCTTCCCTCTGAGCGGGGCTTATTGTTACAAGGAGTGGGGTTTTCTTTTCCCCCCTCTGCGTACGAGTTGGATTTGGTGTCGGCCCCTCCCCGGGTTCGGTTCCGTGTTCCCCCGGGTACGTCGGTTCCGTCCTTCCGGAGTTTTTCGGCTTATCGCATCCAACCTGGTGTGGTGCGAGCGGCCTTTGCAGCTTACCTCCTGCGTGACCCGGATTATGCCTCGGAAATGGATCCGTCCGCATTCAGGTTTGGGACTTCGTTCCCTTTCTGGCTCCGTTATGAGGTTCCGGAGTCGTCCTGGCTAGCAGACTGCCCCTTGTTTGGTCTGGATTCCTGGCATTCCTTCTGTCGTTCCCGCACGCTGGAGTGGCGGGAAGCTTCCACGGGGCTTCAGGTTTTCCTGGGGGGCGTGCTTGAGTACCTGAATGAGTGCTTGTTTGCCCCTGCCCTTCCCCGCGATGTGGGCGTTATTCAGCTCCATGTGCAGGTTCCCTCCCTTTCGGCGGCGCTCGTTGCGGAGGACTTGCACGCCCGGGGCCTTTTGGCTTCGGCCTTGCGGTTCTTTTCCCTCCTGGAGCTGTCTTCAGATTGGCTCGTGGAGGATGTGAGGATGCTTGGGTCCGTCCCGGGGTCCAGCACCTTGTCCTCGGCTGCGCGTTCGTCGGCTGCCTTGTTGAAGCTGTTCACGCCGATTTTGCGGGATGCGGTTTCCCTGTTTTATGCTTCTTGTCTCGCGTGTCGGCAGGCGGTGCTGGGATCCTCCGTGGAATCTGCTTGGGCTCTGGCTCTTAGGCGTTCTTCACCTTTTTGTCCTCTTCTGTTTGAGGAGTCGGCCGTGACGCAGTTTATTCAGGCTGCGTCGGCGGCTTGTCGTCCGATGTCAGACTTGTTGGTTTTCCGGGGGTCCCGGGGTGGGTCTTCCCGGAAAGGTCGTGCCAGGGCTCGGGGTTCCTCTCGTCGTGGTAGGCCTCTGGTGTCAGGTTTGGGTTTGGCTCCTACGGACCCTCCCTCGTCTGGTCGGCGCGGTGTTCGCGCTGTGTGGGGTTCTGGGTCTCGTAAGGGTCGCCGGCCCTTTTGCGGTTTGCCCCCTTGACGGGGCGATGGGGGGGGCGGCTTGCACTGTTTGCCCTCGCCTGGTCCCACGATTCGTGGGCCTTTCGGGTCGTGTCTCGCGGCCTGCGGTGGCGTTGGGTGGCCCCTCCCCCCTTTGGGTGGTCGGGGCTGGCAGGGCAGGTTTCTTCCCCTGCGCTCTGTCGAGTCGTCTTGGAGTGGGTACGCTTGGGCGTCGTCGAAACGACGTCGTCCCTCAGATGGGTTTCCCGTCTGTTTCCGGTTCTGAAACAGGACTGCGCGGACCTGCGGTTCATTCTGGACTTGTCCCGTCTGAACCCCTGGGTTCATTGCCCCTCCTTTCGGATGACTACGCTGTCTCAGGTTCGGCTCCTCTTGGAGCCGGGAGCTTGGATGGTGTCCCTGGACCTCCGGGACGCTTATTGGCATGTCCCGATTCATCCACGGTTCAGGGACTGGCTCGGTTTTGTTGTGGGGCGTCTGAGTTACCGCTTTCATTGTCTCCCGTTCGGGTTGAACCTGGCACCTCGTGTGTTCACACGCCTTACACGGGTTGTGGTGGCTCGTTTGCGTCTCCTAGGTGTTCGGGTGTTGGCCTACCTCGACGACTGGCTGGTTTGGGCTCCCAGCCAGTCAGCTTGCTTGCTAGCCAGGGATTTGGTTCTTTCCCAGCTCGCCGAGTTCGGGTTCTTGGTGAACTGGAGGAAGTCCCATCTGGTTCCCTCTCAGGTTCGGACTTGGCTGGGTCTCGTTTGGGACTTTCGAACCGCCTCCTTGTCTCTCCCTCCGGAGTCTCTCCTGCGGCTGCGGTCCCGCCTTCGTCTGTTTCTGGAGGGCCCTCGGGTCACCCGGCGGTTGCTCGAGTGGCTGTGAGGGAGCTTGAACTTCGCGATGGTGGTCAACCTGCCGGGTCGGATTTGGCTTCGACGGCTGTTCTGGTTCCTTCGGGGTTCCCCCTTCCGCCTTTCTCGCGATCACAAAGTTCGACCCCCGGGGGCCTTGCGTCGGTTGCTGCATCACCGGCTTCCTCTTCGGGTTTTTCGGGGTTCAGTGCCTTGGCGCCTACCCAAGCCCTCGCTCGATGTGTACACGGATGCGTCGTCTCTCGGCTGGGGTTTTGTGACCAGTGCTCACCAGGCCGGCCAGGGGCGTTGGGATCCGTCCTTCCGTCGAGCTCACAGCATGGTGCGGGAGTTCGCAGCAGTGTGGTTTGCTCTGGGGAGGATTCGGGTGTCCCGCGGATCGACGATTCGGCTCCATTCAGACTGCTCTCCGGTGGTTCATTGCCTGAACCGCGGGGGTTCGATGCGGTCCATGTCTCTTTGGGGTTGGTCGCTTCGGTGATGATCAGTGAACACAAATTAACAGGTTTAGAAGAAAAAATATTTTTTTTATTGTATGTGCCTGTGAGTGACACATGCTAAATAGCCAGGTGCCATACAAGGGTTAAACCTTGCCACTGAATAGGAATGATAATTATTATTAGACATAGACAGGTTGACTTAATTTCTCTCCCTTCCAGGTTTTTGGTGGAGCATAAACTGGTGGATTGTTTGGTAACAACTGCAGGAGGCGTGGAAGAAGATATCATCAAATGCCTTGCCCCGACCTACCTTGGCGACTGGTATATGAAGGGAAAAGATCTACGTGTCAAGGGTCTCAACAGAATAGGCAACCTCATTGTGCCAAACGACAACTACTGCAAGTTTGAGGATTGGGTTATGCCAATACTTGAGACTATGCTAGAGGAACAAAAGAGCAAGGTGTGTTCAAAGGATTGCTGAACTTAGTCAGCAATACAACTCTCACATTTACACATTACATTACTTATGCACAGTTCTTCTGTAAGATATATAACACAGCTACCTATACCTACACTCCAACACGTTGTAGCTAAAAGGGTTGGGCTGAGAAGTATTAGCTTAGAAATATATTAAATGTTTCCACAATGCTGTGTTGCCTCTCCTGACTGTTATAGGGAAAAACTAAAAATGCATTCACATATAAACAAATTTTGTAGTTTGTCGTAGTATGAAATGCATCTTGGGTATGAGTTTAGTGTATTCAATGCTTGATTTCTGGGCTGGGTTTAAGCTCCTCGTTGCATGCTTCCAACAGTGCCTACGAGAGAATAGTTTTTGAAATATAAATCTGATCAATAAGAGAAGGAACACAGGGGCTGATCCATGGGGGGTGATTAGGCTGGAAACCCAGGGCTTGGGGAAGGATGAACTAAGCAGCTGGAAAGGCAGCCAAGAGCCTGGCAACCCCAGTGACTACAGACACCATCCAAGAGAAAATGAGCAACTAACATTGTTAGAATGTTACAGAAATAAGCAGCCTCTTTTGCCCCTCTTGTGATGGTTGGGTTTGACCTCGGGGGTGGGGGGGGGGGTTCTTGCGTCGGTTGCTGCGTCTCACGCTTCCTCTTTGGGTTTTTCGGGGTTCGGTGACTTGACGCCTTCCCCCTTCTCTCACTCGATGTGTTCACGTACTCCTCATCTCTTGGCTATGGTTTTGTGACCAGCGCTCACGAGGCCAGCCAGGGGCGTTGGGCTCACAGCACAGTGCAGGAGTTTGCTGCTTTGTGGCAGGCACTGCAGTGGATTCGGTTGCCTTGGGACTCGGTGTTTCAGCTCCATTCGAACTGCCTCCTGTGGTTCATTGTCTCAACCGCAGAGGATCTCTGCAGTCTGTGGCTCTTTGGGGCTGGTTGCTTTGAGTGGCTCTTCTGTTGATTTCTCGGGGTTTAGCTCTCCGCGCCATTCACATTCAGGTATTTTGTTCATTAGGTGTCCAATGTCCTGGCAGACGGCTTGTCTTGCTTCATTCGTCTTTCCACGGAGTGGAAGGTCTAATGACGCCTCGTTCCTTTGACTTTGTCGGAGGTTCAGGCACCCGGAAGTTTTTTTCATGCCAACTTGAAGAGGCGCCTTCTCATATATGTGGCACAGGTTCCCGACTGCAAGGTGGACGCTTTCCGGTAGGACTAGTCGAGGTGGGGGCTCCTGTACCTTCACCCCATAATCCAGTTGTTGCCTCAGGTTCTGGCACGGCCAGATCTTATCGGGGTAGAGTGGTCCTCCTGACCCCATGGTGGCTGGCCCAGCCTTGGTTTTAGATGCTACTCTCACGGTGTCTGAACCCTGGAGTTTTTCCGCGACTTTGCCTCTTTCAGCAGGTCAGGCCAGTGAGGTACCTCATTGGTTCGACTTACTCTTCTGCTCTTCGCATCTTCTTTTTTTTTTACGCGAGTGTACCGACATTTGTATGGTGATCAGGTGGCTTCGTTGATGGTGTCCCACCGCAGTCTTCCTCTCAGCGACAGTATGAAGTATCCTGGCAGTCTTTCTGTCATTTCCTTTCCCTTCGTAGGATTTTGTCAGTGTCTCAGTTGTTTTGCCCGTTCTTTTCCGGGAGGAGCCCCTACGGCTTCCCAGAACTATCCATGGCTGATATGGATACCATAGCTATTTTGCATCAGTCGATGTGGGTGGAGTTCTAGCCTACCGGAGACCACAAGCCAGAACCTGGCCCCCTCACTGAGGCATGGGGAACAATGGCCCATAGAAATGCACATGTGATTTGGAGTATTCTATATTTGCCATCAACCAGGACAAGCGCCCCAAAAGGTAAGCGCCACAAAACAAACCCCTAATCTGGTTAACAACGAAAATCATCAAACGAGTGAACAGAACTCCCCAAAAGAAAAACCAACAAACAAGCATGACGTCACACGAGCCGCTCCGTATGTCTGCGCAGCTCCCCCCTTCCCAGGAGGGGGAAGGGGGAGCCCCAGACCCTCGTGCCAGGAAGTATGGGAGGTCTTCCTCAACAATTAGCACCATTTTGAAGAGGAAGAAACAATTTAAGACGCTTGACGTGGCCAAAGGAGTTACCAAGGTTACCAAGAAATGTCCTAAACTCCTAGATGATGTTGAAAGGCTACTGCTGGTCTGGATGAATGAACGTAAATTACATGGCGATGGTGTCTCTGAAGCTATCGTTTGTACTAAGGCAAGGGTGCTGTATGTAGACCTTGTCAGGAAGATACCAGGTGCATCGTCTGAAGATGAGGAGTTATTTAAGGCAACCCATGGATGATTCGAGAACTTTAGGAAGAGGGGTGGTATACTCAATGTTGTGCGAAATGGGAAGGCTGCCAGCTCTGATAAAGCTGCTGCCGAGACTTTTGTGCCACAGTTCCAGGAATTTCTTGATCGGGAGCAGTTCCTGCCCCAACAGGTTTTCAATTGTGACGAGACTGGGCTGTTTTGGAAAAAAAATTGACGAAGAGGACCTACATCACGCAAGAGGAACAATCGTTGCCTGGCCACAAACCGATGAAGGATCGGCTCAGCCTCATGCTCTGCGTCAATGCAAGTGGCGATTGCAAGATAAGGCCGCTGCCGTCTACCACTCTGAAAATCCACATGTGTTCAAGGCGTGTAAGGTGCACAAGACACGGCTGAATGTGATGTGGAGGTCCAACAAGAAGTCCTGAGTCACGCAGATCTTGTTCAGTGAATGGGTAAATGACGTTTTTGGTCCCACAGTGAAGAATTATCTCACTTTTAGCTTTTAGTGGATGATATTGTTGCTCTGGAGCACACATTGGGTCTAGAGGTGGATGCCGCTGATGTGCAGGAGTTAGTGGAGGAGCACAGTGATGAACTGACCACTGAGGAACTCTTGGAACTGCTGAAAGAGCTGGTGCAACAGGAGATAAAGGAGCTCTCATCGGGGGAGGAGGTATGAGAGGACGCTGTCCCGTCCATTGAGATCAGGGACTGTGTTGGGATTGTTCGAAAAGGTGACCGCATTCATGGAAAAACATTGCCCTGATAAGGCGATGACAACACATTGCATGAACATGTTTAATGTCAATGTGCTGTTTTGGTTTAGGGACATCCTAAAACATAGACAACACCAAGTGGCACTTGATATGGTCTGTGGAAAGGGTGTGAAAAGACGTGCAAGTGATAGTGAACTACAACCCAGTCCCAGTGGGGTTAAATTCCCAAAAAGAGAGAGCCCGCCTGACCCACAGGTGGAGTCTACCTCCACACCGTAACCCCTCTCCTCCTTCCCACCTCCCGATCGTCTCCCTCAAACCAGCAACGACTCTAAATTTATTTATTTATTTATTTATTTATATACAAGAAGGTACATTGGGTTTGTGAGAATACACAGCATAGTATTTACAATCTTGTAAAGCCACTAGTACGCGCAGCGTTTCGGGCAGGTCCTTAATTTAACAGATAATTTTAAGTAGGTAAATTCTAGCAGAATTAATAAAATGATAACAGATACATTGCAAGAAAAAAATGAGATGAGATAGATTAGTAAGTATATTAAAGCACATTGGTAGCTCTGATTGATTACATTGACAGCTTGATTGGTAATTTAAACAAGATTAATAGACACCATACAGCAGATTGATAGCACATATAAGAAGACAGCAATGATCACAATGGTAAAGATGTTCGGATTGGGTACATAAGGATTGGGAGATTGGGTAGCAATAAATACAGTGCAATTTTAAAGCAAAAGGTAAAAAACTATGAAGATGAAATTAGGTACTTTTTAGTATTGTTTCTGTGGGGAGCCCCTACGGCTCCCTGGAGCTTATCGGGCTAATGTATGTTATGTTAGACTGGGACATTAGCTAAGGAGTTCAGACCTACCAGGGACCAGCGCCAGAACCTGGCCCCTTCAGAGAGGTTTCAGGGAGCAATGGCCCTGGAAAACCCCATATGGTTGGGGGTTTTCCTTATCTGCCATCGACCGGGGTTAGGCACCCAGAAAGGTAGGCGTAACAAAACAAACCCCACATGGTAAGAAACTACAACAAAAACCGAACAGAGAGGTAGAAAACTCCCTACAATCCCAAGGAAACAAGCAAACAAGCAAACATCACACTTTACTGCCGCGCCGATCGTCCGCGCAGCCCTCCCCACCCCGGGAGGGGGAGGGGGAGCCCCGGACCTACCGCGCCGGCTGCCAAGCTTCAGTTCGTTCGCTAATGTCAACCGGGATTGACGCTTCTCTGGCCTCAGTTTCCTAGGCGGTGTTTGCCTTGTGTGGCGTTCACTGCCGTGTGTTGTGGTGTGCGGTGGCCAGGAGTACTTCATCAGTGCCGGGGCTGCATGTGCTTAGTGGCTGACTTCCCTAAGCGCCCTGTGAGTACTGCCCTTGCGTTACAGGGTTATCTTCCCTGGGGCGTTCGGGAACCATTCCCGTAGAGGTTCTTGCTGCTCGGCATTTGCCTCGCCCTTGGGGCCAGCTGGGGCTTGGGGCCCTTGTTTGGCCCTGGGTAGGGATTGGTATTGTGCTGGTTAGGGCGTCAAGGTGTTGCGCAGCCTGCCACCTAAGCGGCGGCCGGTTTCTGTTGCCTCTGGAGACGGTGTACTTTTGCGGGGTTTTTCTTTTGTTTTTCATTTTCTTGCCTGGTGGGGGTCTGCCTAAGGTGGTTATAGTTCCACTGGTAGTGTTTGGCGGCCCTCTGCTAGGCCCCCATGCTTGTACACGTCTCAGGGGTTTTCAGTGCTATAATCTACCCTCTTGTTATGTTTGGGTTTCTTAACCGGTTACCAACACCTTGCCCGGGCTTCCCGTAGTTGTTACCCTACGGGCCCTGGAAACCCCTGTCTGGGCTCGGGGGACCATTGAATGTGTCTTCCGGGTTCCAACCCGTCTTGTACGGGATCGTTGGTTGCTGTTCCCTTGTCTCCGGGTGACAGTCGCCAATTTTACCTCCGTC